CAGGTTCTCTTAGATTATTACTTAGGCTTCCAATATTTCTTATTCCTTGCCTCCATTCAATTTCCTCTTGCAGAGAAAACCAAATGAAGAAAAATAATGAAAAGAGTGAGGTCTGTCATGAGCTGTTATTTTAACTCTAGTTTAGTTACCTCAAACTCTGGAGTGTCCTGGAAAATAATCATCCAGCATAATTTCCATGACCATATTGTTGAGTTATGCATTGCTTTTTACCACCACTTTAAAATTTTATTTTCTTGACACCTTTCAGGAAAAAAGCAGGGAAAGGCAGGGTACAATTGCTTTGTAGCAAAGGAACAATATTTTGATTTATCGTTGCATTTTAGCACCTTTCCTTTTCCCCACTAAACAAACTTTATTTTGCATTGTTCTGTACATCAACTTATACTCCAAGCACCTCCTTGTCAAAATTCATCCATTGACTGTATAGGTCCTGCCCCCCAGGATCCTGTGTCTCCTGGGCTGTGTCTGAGTAGTAGCCATGGCTCAAGTGTTCCCAGAACTTAGAGAGGAACTGGGAAGATTCAAAGCAAAGCTTGAAGGTATTTTTTTTTTCCTTTTTGTCTTTTTTCGTGTCCGGCAACGGATCGCAACCCTCGGTGTTGCTCCCACACCTTGCTCAGCCAGTGAGCGGGAACCGGTCTGTACGTGGGATCCGAACCCTCGGCGGGAGCGCCACCACGCTTCCCAAGCGGCGCACTGTAGCAGTGCGCCACTGGGCTGGCCCCGCTTGAAGGTATTTTTGATATAGCAGATGTTACTTATGAGTATGTTAAAAAAAAGCTTCTGGTGGTAACATTAGCACCAAAAAGGATGGGCTTCGATTCCTCCTGAGGCTGGCCAGCCACATCCTTTACCCCAATCTGAAAATCTTTTAGATCCCTTCAAAATCCCTCAATTTAGTGATAGACTAGCTTGCAATAGGAAAGAATTAATAAATGACATATGGAAGGCTTAGTACCTTATTTTATTTTTATTTACATATGTGTCTCACTGAATGCTAAACTTTCTTGAAGGTACAGATTTGTGTCTTATTCATTTTTATATCTTCCACCAAGCAAAATTACTCCTAGTCTGCAATCAATAAATATTTATTGAATTGATCTGAAATTTCAATTGGGAAGGCAGAATATAGAATTATTAAACTTTTGGTATCTCATAACCTGGCATGGCATTCTAACTCAATTAACTTGCTATATGACCTGGTGCAAGTTGGCTAACCTCTCTCTCTAATTTCCTAAACTCAAAAGTGGATTAAATGAGATAATGAATGTAACATGCTGGGCATTTCTTAAGTGCTATTTATACAATGAATATTACTGAGCTCCTACTGTGCTTTAAGTTTGAGGCAGGTGCTGGCGACAGAATAGAAAAGATGTGGGGTTCCTGCTTCATAGAGCTCAGGGTAGTTGGGAAGACAGAAACAAAATAGTCACACAAATAAATTAATTACAAATTGTGGTAAGTGCCATGGAAGAAAAAGTTCAGAATTCCATGAGACATCGTATGAGGGGGGCCTGATTTAGAGAGCTGTGGAAGGATTCTCTGAGCAAGTGGCATTTAAGCTGAAACTTAAAGGATGAGGAGATTCTCTATTTTCCCACTCCCACTCATTCAGCAGCCTTCTTTAGTCTGGCTTCCATCTCTCTACCTAAATAGCTCTTGCTAATGTCACCAATGGCTTCCGTGTTACTATATACATCTGACATTTTTCAGTCCTCTTACTTGCCCTCTTAGCTGCACTCAACACAGTTGATCACACCCTCCTTCTTGAGATACTGTCTTCTTTTGGCTTCTCTAACAACAAATGCCTCTTGATCTCTTCATCCCTCTCTGACTGTCTCTTCAGCCCCGTTTGAAGGTTCACCTGCCCCAATCCATCCATTAAATGTTCCCCAAGGCTTAGTCTTAGTTCCTCTTTTCATCTTATTCTAGACTTACGTTGTCTGATAAAAACATAACGTGAGCCACTCATGTTATTTAAGATCTTCCACATATTAAAAAGTCAAAAGAAAGAGGTGACAATCTTAACAATGTTTTTAACTCAATATATAAAAAATTATCATTTCAACATGCAACCAATGTAAAATTATTAACAAGAGATTTTACATTATTTTTGTATTCAATCTTTGTAATCTGGTGTGTATTCTAAATTATGACACATATCAATCTGTACTAGCAGCATTTTAAGTGTTCAGTAGTCATACATGGTAGTGGCTACCATATTGAACAGTACAAGTGTGAACTCTAGAGTTTAAATCCCCTTGCTGGGTGACCTTATCTCTGTCAGGGTTCCAATTCCCATCTATTAGATGATGCCTCGAATTTCATATCTGGCCCCAACTTTTCTTCTGAGCTCCAGTTCCTTACAGCCATCTGTCCTCTTCACATCTCCACTTGCATGCCCCAAGACACCTCAGACTCTGCATGTCTCACATTAAACTCATAATCTTCCCTTTCAAATCTGGGAATGTTTTACTATCTCTGTTATTTACATTACCATTCATCCAGTTTCACTGGCAGTAATCTAAGGGGCTTCCTTGATATTTCCCTCTCCCTCAATCACCTTATACAATTCATCACCAAGCCCCGCACATTTTATCTCCCAAATATCTCTTAAATCTTTTCAGTGTCTCTTCATAGCCATCATCCAAGCCGCTATCATCTCTTGTCTGGACAACTGTAATAGCCTCTAGACTGGTCTCCTTGATTTCATCTGGCCACCCTCAAGTCTACTCTGCACACTGCAGCCATGGTGGTATTTTAAAAATCTGATCATATTAACTGCAAATCCCATCAGTTAACTGTTCCCTCACCCATGAAAATACTTCAGGGGTTTCTACTGCTCTTCGGACAAAGGGATAAAGCCCTGGTATGGTCTAAAAGGCCCTCTATAGCAGCCAGACACACACACACACACACACACACACACACACGCACGCACGCACGCACGCGCGCATTGTAAGCTCTCCCTCCACCCTTTTCCTTCCTCCAAAGCCTGTACTTACCTTTCCAGTCTCATATCACATTCACTCCCTCCTTCACCTCTTTGCATTTCAACCATTCTACCATTTTTTAGTTTTTTAAATGTGTCATACTCCCTCCTGTTTTACAGACAAGAAAACCAAAGCTCAAAAAACATGTGCGCTTTCCAGAAACACAATGTTAGAGCTAGATTACCACTCTAATACTAGAATTACTATTCTTATTGTTTTTTTGGCAGCTGACTGGTACGGGGATCCAAACCCATGTCAAATTTCATATTCGTATTACAAGGCTGTGTTCTAACCAACTGAGCTAACCCGCCAGCCCCATGTCTCCTCTTTTAAATATGATGATTCTCTCCTTATTTTCCCTTTGTTAGAATATTCTCCATAAACCCTTCCCCTCCCCTTTGCCTATTTATCCTTCAGACCTCAGCCTAACTTCTACTTCATCAGGGAAGCTTTACTGGACCATTCTATCTAGGCAAATCCCCTTGTAATATGCTGTTACATCACTAGCTGTAAATTTACTTTTATTAGCATCATTGCTTGATTAATGTCTATTTCTGTTAATTGGCTTTATGATGACAAGGACCATATCTTGTCTTGCTCTCTCTATATTGTCAGATCCAGGCACACAGTAGGCACTGAATGTATGGATAGGTGGATGGGTGGATGGATGAATGAATGAATGAGTGAATATATCAGCCAGGCAAAGAGCAGCCCAGACAGAAGAACAGTGAGTATGAAGTTCTCCAAGGTCAGTAAGAACACTGAGAGCTGGAGCTAGAAAGAGAGTGGAGAGACTAGAGACATAGGCAGGGGCTGGATCATGCTGGGCATTTTAAAGGATTTTGGATAAATGGAAGCCACTTCTTTTGGGGGGGGGGTTTGTGTTTAGTTCATCAATTTTTATATTGCTAACTACCAACCAGAGAAAGCAATTTAAAATCTAAATAGAGATATATTTACAGACAGAAATAATGATATGTAAAAGAATAAGACACTAGTTTTTAGTAGGATGGGATAGGTGCTGCCTGGACCTTTAAGAAAAATAATGTACTTTCATGCAGCTGTGGTCAAAGCCTGTGTAAGATTTACTGTAAAACCACTAGCAAGAAGGCCCTTAAAGACATTTTGATGCTGATGAAACTTGGTGCCTAAGTTTAAAACTAATGAAAACACCTAAACTCTCTAGGTGGATAAAGAGCCATATTCAGGAGAAATTGAGGAGTTGGTGTAGGTAGCCAATCACAACCCATCGAGGCCACAAACTAAATCCCAAACTGCAATTTGAACATGAGACTCTCTCATAAAAGTTTGTAGGTACATAAACGGGCGAACTTCAATTACATTCTGGTGAAACGTCCAAAAGAAAAGTGCCCAGAAATAGTGAAAATGGAGTGCGAGCTCTTGCATTAATGAGAGAGGCTGTTGTGTCCCTGCGTGCCAGGACCAGTAATTCTTGTCAAGAATTGGTAAACAGCAGGAGTGTGAGAGGATCTCATTGTGATCCGAAGGTTTAAGGGTACATGAAACTAACACGGAATTCCAGGTTCCAAAATTCTCTAAGTGCCTAGACAGCCTCGCCCAGAGCTGTGATTGTATCAACGCAGTCCTTTTGAGTCATTAAAAAAGAAAACGAAAAAGAGATATGTGTACAAGTGAACACATTTCATAGCCTCTCCCCCTGCTTCCTGTGCAATGTATAAATAAGACCGCGAATATAAAACTTTTGGATTTCAGCAAAGACGCCCCTCGCTTTTGCAAGCTGCCCCGCTCCACGACGCCGGCATAGGAATCTCCAACTCACTCCGGAGCTGAAGATCCTTGTAAGCTTTACCCTACGCGGGTAGATTAGCACCGCGAATGCCCGAGGCTCGGGAGGAGTTAGGCGTTTGGTCTGGCCCCAGCGCCGCTCCAGAGGCGATTCCGACGCCCACAGTCGAGTCCTCCGCCATCCCAACATTCCTTGCGCTCCTACCATAGAGAGCAGTTTCCGGCGTCGCTTGTGTAGGTGGGTGGAGAAGGAGCGGGCCTTCGCCGCTCTGACTCGCTCCCTCGCGCTTTCTCGGGGAACATGGCGGGCGTGGAGGAGGCAGTGGCCTCCGGGAGCCACCTGAATGGCGACCTGGATCCAGACGACAGGGAGGAGGGAGCTACCTCTACAGCTGAGGAAGCAGCCAAGAAAAAAAAACGGAAGAAGAAGAAGAGTAAAGGGGCTGGCGCAGGTAAGGGGAGTTTTATGTGTTCCCAGTACCCGCCAGGAGTGGCCGAACAGCTTGGCCCAGGCCCGAAGAGGGTGGCAGGGACCGGGGACCCAGAGCACGAAACCAGACTTATTCCTAGGCCTGAGTGGGTGGCAAGGCAGAGCCCCAGATTCCCAGTCCCGAGGAGAGGTGGCTTCTCTTGTGGGACCAGAGGGCCGGTGGGAGTGGGGTGGGGGAGGAAAGAGTGCCTCATTTCCCCGTGTGGTAGCTCTTGGGTCGCAGGGCCCGAGCCCCTGTGTTGCCAGAACTCAGGTCCCACACAGACCGTGGCACGGACTTGAAACCGTGCACGGAGCACAACCCTACCATCTTCTGCGCGCTTTGGCCGCCTTCGCAAAAATCCGGTTCTGAGCCCTACTGCCGCCTCTTTGCTGGAGCAACCTGGGACGTATTTTCATCGTGGGTGGGGTGGACAATTGTAAAGCCTGACCGTACCCCCTTCCCGCCCACCTTTGCGGTTTACATTGGGGTTTTTGTTGCGGGCTGCACTTTTTGGGGTGTGTACGCCCGCGCATTCGTGTAACTAGCAATTGCAGAATATGTGGTGGTGGTGCGAATTTTCACCTGCCTAATCCCACGCATCGTCAAGATTTAGGGCCTTTAGGCCTCAATTATGATGCCACTTGCAGGCAGTGCAGATGGGGTATCCTGTGGTCCGGATGGAACTTCGCGGGCCGTACACACTAAATCCACCGCTAAGGCAAGGCATACAGCTAAAAGTTTACAATTGGATCATATTATGAGCTAAGAACTTAAACGTCTCATTTTGAAAAGTCAGTGTTTTTGTTGCACAAGCTCCTTTATTTTAGGAAAAATTGTTTTGACCTGTTTCTAATTAAAATCAGCCAGAGAAAGAATGAGGGGAAAATGGAGAAACCAGAAGTGATTAATGTGGAATTGTGAGGAGTAGGAGAGGCCTAATCTACATCTTTTTGAAATTTTTATTAGCTGGGAGTGGAAAAAGTTGACGTTGCTGGGACTCTTCCAGGTCAAAATTTAATCCCAGGACATCCTGGCTTTCAGATGAAATTCAAACTCTGCAGTTTTATCCTTTAAGGTGTTCATCAGACTGATCCTAATAAATTTCTAACAGTTGTCATCTCTCAATATGAGTCCTCTTCAGTAGCCAGAATGTCACTTCATTATGTGTTACCTGGTTCATTATGTGTTACCCTTTCTTTCTACGCATACATATTGCTCCTACAGCTAGAGTGCAGTCACTCCTAGAGCAGCGGCCTCTTGTGCTTAGATGTTCAAAAATTTTGTTTTTCAGTGATGGACTATCTTTTCCTATTTTCCCGATTTTACCCAGCCCATCGTTGCAGCTTTTATCTAAATTGAAGGCTGGAGTTTTCTTCATGAATCGTCTTCTTTCTAAGACCTTCAGCATGTATTGTCCGTCTTAAGTTTTTGTCTGGTAATTAAAGTACTGTATTTGTTGTAGTCTAATTGCTGAATACTTTTAAAAGTTAAACTACTTAACGATAGGGACCAACTCACACTTTTGTTTATACTTTAGCTGCTAGCATGTGTAATGGATATTTTGTTGAATTGATGAATGGATAATACTACTTAGGTAGGGAAGGTATTTCTCTGTCATTAAACAGATTCTTTTATATTCGCAATAATGTTTCTGTTTTTGTTTCTTGTGCACTTATCAGGGAAAGATTTGTGAATTCTCCAAGATCCTTAGAACATATTCTAGAAGGAAAGAATCTTTATTAGATTTAATTTATGCTGTTTTATTTGATCAGCAGGGCAACAGGAACCTGATAAAGAATCAGGAGCCGCAGTGGATGAGGTAGCAAGACAATTGGAAAGACAAGCATTGGAAGAAAAAGAAAGAGATGATGATGATGAAGGTAAATAGTTAATTTGATATTTGCGATTAGAAAAGGTAGAAAATGTGACATTCTTTAAGCAAAATATATTTATTTGTATAGTCTGTTATTCTTTGATATTTCAGTTGTTAAATCCTTAATGTCACAGGTAAAAAGGAAAAGGTATTTATTAGCAACTCTTTAAAACATTGGGTATGTTGAATATACCCAACTTTTTAAAGAATATGTTGAATAGCTGCTCAGATAGCACAGATCTCCACTTGCTAGAAGGCCAAGTGGTAGGTGAGTATTAATCAAATAAAATTGAGAGGATGTTTATTTAATATTTTTTGAGCAACCAGTATGTACTACCATTATCCTAGGGTGCTTTCACATGCATTCTTGTTTTAACCTCATGGAAACAAATGAAGTAGCTGCTGTTCTTATTTTACAGATAGAGAAATGGTGCTTATGTGATTTGTTCAATGTGATAGTTAGTCTGTGTAGACTAGTGCCTGATCCCAAGTCTATTTCTTTTACTGTCTATACTTTTCTTCATTCTCAAAGGAGCATATTGATGCTTCTAAATTCTATAATAAATTCCCTGACCCTAGTGCCTTGTGGATATTTGGGTGCTTAAGATTTCTTTTAAAACAGCAACTGCTGGAATTCTAGTAGTTGATGCCACCAGTAAGACAGTGGAGGGAGAGAAGATTAGGTAGGAAAACTGTTGTTATTCTACAGCCTCTTATGGCAAAGGGGAAGATAGGGCTTTCCCATTCTTTGAGTTTGTGATTATATCCTGCCGTGATCACCTGTACCACCGCAAGTACTACCAGCCTAGAATTATGCCTTTCAGCCATCAGTAGGAGCTGTATTTACTGTGTTAGGGTAATGTAGAGTAGTTGTTTTTCCTTTAGAAAGATATGTTCTCTGCTTTCAAGATGCTTACAGTCAACATTTGGTGGAAAAAGTGCCAAGATTCAAGGGAATTGTTAGCTTTTCTTCTTCTTTGAGCAAATCTTCATTCTATCTTGGTTTATGCTTCAGATTATGCACATATTTTGAGCTCTTTAACAAGAAAGAGGTTTGTTAATTCAGGGTAATATAGTAGGTTGCTATAGATCCACTACGTGTAGAATATCACAATGCTAATCTTGAAGCGTGCCTTTGTTCTACTGTACCTCTGCAAGGTTGTGTAAATCTCCTGACATTGAAAGGGAAAATTTTTGCTTGTCAGATTGGAAATATTTAATTTATTAAAAATGATTTTAGGGGGCCGGCCCGGTGGCGCACTGGAGAGTGCGCCGCTTGGGAGTGTGGCGGGACTCCCGCCGAGG